AGAAAATTTCAATTTTCACTATGTTTTATTAGTAAATTTAGCCCCTGAGTCATTACTTTTGGTCATCACTGTATAATAAAATAAAATAAAAATTTTTATAATTTTAATTTAATTAGTTATCTTTAATTTAAAAAATTTATTTATTATAATATCAAGAAATTATACTTTTAAAATTAAATTATCAAAAATAACTATTATATTTATAATATATTCATTTAATTATTATTTAACTGAATTAATTAAATATTTTCTAAAAGAATTTAATATTAAAAAAATTATGAATATATAATTAATAAGTTATAATAAATCTAAATATTTTTAATATTTTATTAATATTTATTTATTCTTTCTTATTTGCATAAATAAAAACTTCTTTTAGAAAAGTTAACAATAATATTAATAAACTTAAAAATAATTAAAGATGATAATTTTATATTATTTGCCAAATATATAAGAACTATATAAATACTAATAGTTTTAGTTCCAGTTTTAATTATAACTGTACTTGGCATTTCAAAATATATGAAAGTCTCATTCATATTTCCAATAAGTGCTTTAGTGCTTTAGGATAATTCCTGCAATATAAAATAAAACTCAAAAATACTTGTAAAGTTCTTTCCAAATCTTCAGATGGCTTCTGGATCATCATGATTATATCAACACATAAATCCATCCAACCATTTTTTGCTCCATTTATATTCAATAACTGACAAATATATTGAGTAATAACCTTTTGTTAGTTCGAGTTCAGAATACTTAGGCCAAAATTCTATGTTAAGATATTTAACATGTGGTGAAACAGCTCACATTTGTTTCGCCAATCTCATATTTGATTAGATTGTATATCAAACTTGCTCGCCATATTCCAAACTGTAGCACTTGGATTTTTCTCCAAATATGTAAGTATTGTTAACTTTTCGCAGGCATTCCAGACCCCTAAATCAATTTTCGGGTAGGTTTAAAGTAACAGACCCGGGGTGGTTTATGCAGCAATTTACGGTACCTTTGGAAATAATATCGTTTTTCATAAATGTATATTCTTAACACGACAACAATAATAAATAACAACCACAAACTTTAAATGCATGTCCGAATAAAGAAATATGATCTCTGACTCTTATACGTCATTTCATCAAAATGATAACTTTCACTGTTTATGTACAGTACCCACATAAAGTATCGACCAGTTCAAAATTATATAGTAAAACATATAAAAAATGGAAAATTTCAAGCTATATACATATTCATGTTTTTAGACAAAGAAAAAATTGAAATTTTCAAGCTATATATATTTTATTATATATATTTTATTATATAAATTTCAAATCGGGGGATACTTTTTGGGGGTCCTGTACATGTAATGGTAACAATACCACACGAAATCCAGGATAAAGCTCCCTAATTTTCCCGAAAAGGAATTTGTATTTTTAGAATAATAAAAAATAAACTAATTCATCTATCTAATTAAATGGTCCCAGGGAGGGTGCACTTAAGGAAGGTGTGACTGTATTATTCGGGTACAAATTGTGGGGGTAAAATTTTGACCCCTGAAATTATTCTGCTGTGCACGTTCACTTTGTTTTGTTTTATTGTTAATTTATCGAAGAACGTGTATTTTTGTCGGACATTTTTTCGTGCTTAAACAGTCGTAGGATGCCGAGTACTGCTTTGGTATGATTTTTATGTGAAATTTTTCGTGTATACTTTATTTGGAAGGCTCATCTAATTTGTGTTTAATTACAAAAGCAGCGAGAGCTTATAGACAGAAGAACTACGACGAGTGATGCTTCATCCTCTACTGATATCACGACGCAATTACAAATCCCCTCACCACCAGTACCACCGCTAATACCAGCAACAGCGCCTTCTCCAATTATATTGTACAGTCACCCACCACCACCTAATATATTATATAATTCAGCGGCATCTTCACAGCGAGTTGATCTTAAAACATCAATAACTCACCCAATAAAGTAAGCTTTTTAAATAACTTTAGTTGTTCTCATTACATGTATTCCAATAAATATGAAAAAATGATGCATTTTACTTTATATCGGCTTCAAAAAGCACTGAACTATCATGAATTTTATGATTTTCTAGTGTCAGCTGGATATTACCCGAAGAATTACTTGGCGGCTTGTCAATAGAACCGTTACCACCTTCATTGGATTTGTTTGACGTGTACACGTCAGCTTCATTATGTGAACGATATAATACCTTTCGAAGTAATAGCGGTATTTCTACATCTCAAACACAACAAATGATTAATAATCAGAATAGAAACGTCACCACAGCCACGGACATTAATTCTTCTTCGACGACTGAAAATAATAGTAGTAGTAATAATAACCTTACACGTAGATTACTCGGAAATTTAGCATTAAGCTCCTGCCCAGGAAAAAAAGTTCGACTAACTGGTCCTGTTCGAGGAAGAGCGACAATTAATCGCGATTTAGATTTAGACTTTCAACGGTTAAAAACACTTGGAATCTCTGTTATTGTTTGGTAGCTATTCGTTTAGCAATTATAATTATTATTTAACATTTGATGCGATTTCTCCGGATATAATTTTTTGTATCCTTGAATTATTTAATTAAGTTGTTTGGATGACGAGGAATTGAAGTTTCTAGGAGCCCCATGGGCGCAATACAAGGAATTGGCACAGCATCATAACTTGGAAATAATAAGGTTTATTGTCTTCTCGTTTTTTCTATCTTTATTTTGCATTTTTTTATGCATTCTCATTTTGGTTAATTCATAATATGTTAGATTACCAATGGTTGAAGGTGGATGTCCAGATTCAGTGGAACAACTAGAAGACATCATTACAAAATTGGATAATCATATAGAGAATGAACGACGAGTACTTGCTCATTGTCGGGGTGGTGAGTTCATCAATTTTTTTGCTAGTGTCAATATCGTGTTATTGTTGGATATCGACATTCATTACTTTAAAAATGGAGGTTTCTATCATCTTGAAAAGACCATACATGCAAATTTACATATACAAAGATTTTTTATGTTACCTTGTTATATTATTCTCGTATTTCATAAAATATTAGGTGTTGGACGTGCTGGATTGATTGCGTGCTGTTGGCTACTTAAACGACGGTATTGTCATAGTGCTGAGAGGTCAATACAGATGGTGCGGATGCGACGAAGTCCGAAAGCTATTGAAACAATGCAGTAGGTGTATCTAGGAAAATAATGACGATCTTATGATTTTGTTTTGATGTTAATTAATTCTTATCGATTATTGAATGATAATAATTTAGGCAAGTTGATTTTATTATGCAATATGCAAATTATATTGACTGGACGCGGCGGCAGCAACAGCAGTCGCCACAACAACAGCAAGAATCATCATGACAGCATATAAATTTCATGATAAGTTTACAAGTCTGGTAAGTTTAAAAATTTGAGATGAGCGTCATTATTATATTAATACCTGAAAAATGTCTTGTTTAAATACTTATTATTATTTATAGGACCTTTATTCTTTACTGATTCACCATCAATCGTCATTATCAATTTTGTATATTTACATTTTCGTATTTAATTATATGTACAATACCTATTTTTGGGAAACAGATCATTATTTAATGGATAAAAACTAAAGTCTGTACTTTATTTCTGGCCGCACCAATTAGTACGCAAAAATCTGACATAAGATATGAAAAATGAATATTGATATAAAAAACTTTTTCTTTGAAC